CGCGAAAGAATGGTGTCCCCTCTTTGGTGATAATTGGCACGATCGAATTGGTTGAAAATTGAGCTTGTTGCGTAATAATCGATCCGGGGTATCATCGGTTTGTAACGTCGAAATGAAACTTTCTCCCAAAGTTTACGATATTTTCACGTGTATAGATTATTATATTCTTGTTTAGGAAGAGTTGCAACGGTTAAATACATCGAGAAAGTTTCGATTTAACGTCCACGCTTGCTGTTAACTCTGATTTTGCGTATTTTGAGTTGCAACCTGTTTTCGTGGTATATTTAAATAACACGCGATTAAAAGAGATTAAAAATATTACCACCTTTTTCAACAGACGAGAGAATTATTATGTTAATATTTTTTGTGGAAATTACGTTATGCTAATTACATCGAAACAATAACGTCGTTGATTAAAGATAATAGCAGCAATTCTTTAAAAAAAAAATAAATTTCGCGACCCGCAAAATTTATTTTAGAATCTGAATTGAATTGGAGGTAAATAATTGCACCTTGATTGGAAATTTTAAAAAGGATGATGAAAATTGAAAAGCAAAAACGATTGATTGGAAAGAACGATTGATCGTGATCGAAACGAGTAATTACTTTGTCGATTCGATCAAGCATTTGTCAAATGAATAGCAATTGTCGCGTTCAATCGCAATTCTAGATTTCGAAGGTTTCTATGAATTGCCGATAAATTTGAAGACCAAATAATCATTTGTCGTGTTAATTTCGATCCTTTGAACATTAATATCATTTGCATAGATATATATATATATATTTGCAATATATATATATATATATATATATACCGACATATCTGGTATAATGTCACGTATCAAATCTAAAGTCAAACTCTCCGATATCTAATGTTTGATGTCGTACTTGTACAAGCAATGATTGAACGAAACGAATGAGGTATATTTGCACACGTGAAAATATATTTACATACGTGCATTGTGCAAGAGGAAAATTCAGATTTCATTCGCTGGTGAATTATCAACAGCAGAAATTTATATCAACGATGAGAATTTTTATGAAAATGAAGAACCTCGATACACGGATAAAAGATTGAGATAAATACGAGAGAAAGTTTAACGAGAAATAATTAAGCCATCTTTGATATAATACGGAATCAAATAATTTATTCGTTAAAATGTTTCTTGAAATTACTGCCAACAAGCATTTCTTTTTTTTTTTTTTTTTGTAATTCCATAAATTGAAAAAATTACCGATGACTTCAAAGGAACATTTCCTTCCACTGAAAAGAACGGATTACTTTTTATACTGTGGAGAAAAACTAATATCCGTGAACTCGTTGAAAACCAACGATTGCGACCAAGAGGGAGAACCCGCTCTTGCTCTTGATATTTACAGAATGACATTTCCAAAGATTAATAACCCAAACCTTCGTTGCTATGTCGATATGTACATGAAATATGAAATTAAACCACATGAAATCAATCGATACACAATCCTTCGACGTTACATAATACATAGTTGTTGCCTATTTTTTTTTTCTTTTCTTTTTTTTATCGCAAGTGGATATTGTCTTTCGGAAACGAATTTGAAAAAAAAAAAAAGAAAAGAAAAAAAGATATATGAACGAGATCGTAGTTGTATTTCGGAAACACGCGAGAAGTTCGATAAAAAAAGGAAGAGAACAATCTATTCACCCATTCGTGAAAAAGAAGATAAAAGAGAAAAATGGCAATCGTATAAAACGAATCCGACAAAGTATTGTTATGTAAAATCACGATGATATAAAAATAAAAAAGACATTTATGCATATACATAGACATTTTTTTCGAGCGCCTTTTAATCCATAGAAAAAATTCTAAATCTACATCGAAATGAATCCTAACATCGACCGAATATATCAAGACTTATACTTTAAATAGGATTGATCTCTTCACATAATTCGAGAGGAATTATTCTCTCCATTCCTTTTTTCACAATATAATGTTTCAACAAAAATTCACCGAAGCATATCCTCGTGACATCCACCACCCACGTGAAATACACAAGAGAGAGGATTGTTCTCCGGAAACTTGTACGATTTAAAAAAGAGCATAGAGAGAACGCAGGAAGATAGAAAGAACAAAACTTTGCGGAAGCTTCCTCTTGGATTAACTGTTTCGCCATAGCCCGCGAAGAGAGAAACTTGCCTCGTAATGCGCGATTTAAAATTCAGAAAACACGCGATCCATACTTGAGAGCATGGCTATTCGAAAATTTCCTGCGACCAAGAAACCACTTTTGTACGAATTTTGTAAATAAATTTTTCTTTATATGCCAAATTGAACGAAAAATTGCATTTTCCTTCCTTCCTTACGCGATTATTCATTTCACATTCGTATTCCCTTTTCCGCCTGTGATCTCGTTTCACGTATAAGGGGGAGCATTGATTTTCGCTCTCTCTTAATCAATTTTGATACGCACTGTCCGTGTTCGACCAATCGTTACTAATACGCTTTGAGAGACCAAGCATAACCACGATTTTATAATATTTGATTAAATATCGGTTTTTCACAATCAGTGTCGAGTTTCATTTATATATAATAGAGAGATTACGGTCCCTGCTGAGTCGAGCCACGGATTTATACGATTATTTATACGATATATGATTATTCAGATCGTATTTGTAAAAAGGATATCTAGCAGTAAAAAATTAAAGTCCTTTTTTTGTTTCGATGTCTCAATCGTTTTCGAGATATATAAAGTGTCAAAGTTTAGTATTTAAGACAGTGCGAAAATTATGAATGGACTCACGATCCAGTGACCTATATCTTTTCTTGGAAATAGTTACTACGTTCTTCTAGGAATAATGTCTCTTGTCTGGAGTTTGGGATGTATCAGTTTTAGAAATACGAGTAAATAACGAGGATAGAGATACTAAACGATTAAAAAATTATCTTTCCACAGTGAATTATCTAGGCAATCGGATGTTGTATATATAAATCAAAAAATTTATAAGGAAAAAATTCAGTATTTCTAACGATCGTTCACTCGTTGACTCGAAAGACATTATTTTCGAAATTCTAGCTGTTCAAAGTTTTCCTAATTTTAACACGCTTTCTATCGTGTTTTAATTACGTGATAATTTCTGTTTTGCTGTTTTGGAATATTGAATTGTTAAACTTTCAAACATTTTAGTTGAATGCGCTTTCCTTTCCTCTTCGAGGAACCGAGCATAATAACTCATCGTGATTCCATAAAATTTAATTAAACATTACTTTTTTACAATCCAACTCCTCCTCGAATTTCATTTCATCCGTAATAACGATCATATCGTTGTTACTGTTCCTGCTATTCTTGTCTATACTTTCGATATAAACTTGAGATACGCGCGAGCATCGTCGTAAATGCCTCTTTGCCCATCGGTTCGGATGTATTCTCGAATTCCGCGTGGGCCACGCGTGGGCGACTTTACGCGCGTATCACAACCGGTTCGGCGAACGTGCGATTACATCGCATTACACTTGGCGCGTTTGTACGGTTGTCGCTCGAGGGCGTCTTTCGAGTTTCCGCACATTCTGCCAGCTATAAAATGACGGCGGCATTTAGGTGAAAGCACGCGACAAATGTCACGCCTTTGTTGATCTATAAATCGTGTCAAAGATTGGTATTACGATCGTTTCGAGGATACTCATGGGTTTTTGAACGACGCAGTTTTTAGCGCCGCGATATTTTTTTATCGATCAATGGGCGAGCCATAAACTCGCCAGCCATTTTTAATGTTGCCTAAAAGAACGGTGGTTGTTGGGAAGAAATTACGAATTAAGTTCACTGCGATCGTAAATTACGAATGTAATTACGATGCATGAATGTGACCTCGATAAGTTATGCGATCTCGATAAGTTGTATCGGAGCGTTGATATCATTATATCGTTAATAACGGTGGATTGCATAGGGCGTAATATCCCCATGTTAAAAATAGCTTTAAAAATCATTTTAAAGTCACTAACGGGTTTCATAAAATGCAAGAGATAGATATTTAAGAAATGGTTCAGAAGTACTTCTTTCTTCGAAAATTTGTCGAATTAAATGAAATATATATTGTACATCTATATCTAATATTCTGATGTGATTGAACATCATTTAATCTCCATTCCCGTTTTTAATGTTGTAAGTACACATATAAAAATTTTGTAGATGAATACGATTTTTTTACAATCGTCGTTTTGCAACATATATTTCCAGATAATCGAGGATCCCATTTATTTATCACTCTTACGTATAATTTGATCCGATAGGTTGATTAAAATATCAGTAACTGAAACAAATACACGTTGATTCACCCAAAGAATGGAATATCTATCGAAACGTGTACTGCGAGTGACGTCTACCGAGATTGCACCATTAGTAATACGATCTATGGACTATCGCTCACTGTAAGGTAAATGGTATAATGGGGGACGAAGTAATTGAACTTGTAGAAAATTGGATTCTATTAACCATCAGATTGTGCTAACTGACGCTGAATAAGTCACGACAAGTTTTATGTAAATTCAGTGAATATCGTGGAAGCTGCGCAACACACCTTCGTACAATTTTTGATAGAGGAAGTCAAGTGGAATATTTTTTGTGAGTTGCGTTGTTTTCTAACAACGAGCGCGCAGTAAATATCGATCGACCTGTATCGTTGGAAACGAGATTACAAGTGAAACGGAATAATTCTCGTGCGTAATACGGGAAAGAATTTAAACGGCGACCAATTAAAAGATCAATTGAACTTCTGAAAAATTCAGCTTTCGTTTCCTGCATACCAATGAAGATAATTCTCGTTACGTTAAGAAATATAAAGCACAGAGTGTTAATATATTCGCGAAAGACAATTCGAACAAATTTTTAATGAATTAAATTCTCAAATCTCTGGACTCGAGTCAAAGATATTCCACAAATGTATTAACACTCAGTATAATAAAATATATATTTAAATTTTAACGATTAAAATAATTTTATCGTACTTGGAAAGAATTATAATAATAACTTACCCGTTGTGCGTCAAGAAGGACTTAGGCAACGATAGTGACCGCTGATGAGGATCCAAGGATCCGTCCGCCGACAGAGTATCCTCACCCCTCGTTGGAGCGCTTCCAGGCCTGGACAGCATTCCATCTTTCGGCGGCTCCATCAACGTCTTCAGAGAACCAATCACCGCATCCTCCATGGGAGTTGACGCACCCGAGCTCTTCGCATTCCTCGGACTCTTGGTCACGGTTCGATCGGACGTGGTCACCCAAATGTCGCTACTCGAGGATGACGAGGTAGCCGAGGAGGACGCTGCGTGGCCGCTCGGCGATCTACTCGCTATATTCTTCCCTTGAACCGGCGACACCTTTCTATCCTTGCTCTCACAACCCTCGAAACTGCCCGAACTGAATTCCGCTTTCTGATAATACCTATGATATTCCCTCTTATCCACGCTCGAGCCGTTCCCGTTAGATCCTTCCAGGGACGACCATCGACTCGACTGTTTCAACACGCTCTTCGGTTGCCTCTCCTGATATTTGGCCGCGCTGCTGTTACTCCGATCACGAGTAGCCCGATTCTTTCGGGACGCGTCACGATCGCGAAATTCACGATCGTCCATTCGCTCCAACGATGCTGGAGACGAGCTGGCGCTACCTCTGCTCGCGTGGCTGCTTCCAGCGTCCGTGGGGAGCCTCTGATGAGCCGGGTAACTCTGGGATAACTTCATGAATACCGGAGCTTGGTTGGGGGAGTAAAGAGTGTCTCTCTGCGAGCAATGCGGCCAGAAATCGCACGTGCTGCTGTTGCAGCGCAACTTCGTGTCGGGACTGATGCAGAAGTCATGGTTCGTGGACGCGGGATTCGCATTCGGGGTCGTTGCTCCCCTTTGAAGCGTTTTAGGTCGCCTCGATTGTTGCTGCTGCTGCTGTTGTTGTTGTTGTTGTTGTTGCGTTTGCTGCTGTGGCTGCTGCGACTGTTGTTGCATGGACGATCCGGTGGATTTGGAAGATTGCTGGTGTTTAGAGGAGATAAAGTAAACATCGTAAGTGTTGGGATTACTCCTCTGCCTTTGCTCCTGGCCATCCTCGCGACGCTCGAAGCGACACGATAGCAGGCTTCTGGCTATCGCGCGGCTCCTCGTACCGTAAAGGAACTCGGTTACAGCCTCGGTCTCACGGAGCAATTCCTCGTTCAACGCGTTCTCGGTTGACTGCGCTTTTCCTAGAAAACAGGCACAAACGATACGTTGGAACAGCGGTAAAGAAAACGAAGCGCGGAAAGGAATGAAATTCGAACGCTCGAAAGTGTTCTTACAGTAGAATTCCTTTGTTCCAAGTCGAATACGTTTCTTACGATATACTCGATTATATGTATATAATAAGCGAATGTACGTGATAACACGATATATCAATCGTTTAATTCGAAGAAAAAAGAATTTAATGTGAATAACGTAAAGAATATCTTACTGTTCTGAAGAGCATGGCGTTTCCTCTCGTTCCCTCGATCGCTGGAAATTTTCACAACCAATCTGTGGGGCTCGTTAGATTCCCTCGAATGTTCCCTGTTCAATGGCGCGGCGGCGCTCGGAGACCTTTTCTCCGGCAATTGAAGACTTCTCGACCTTCTCACCCGCGACTGATGAGAATCCGGAGACGCTTGCGTCGTCCTCGCGCTCTGATGTTGCCTAGAAGCGTTGCTACGTCTGAAAGGGTTCGGTGTCGGCGATCTGCCCTGTCTGTCCGTGCTGCTCGACGACGAGGAGGAGGAAGACGGCGAGTTGAACGACAACTTGCCGGATTCCGACGATCCCGGCGATCTTCTTAATCCCTGTTGACTCCTGTGATGTCGGCTCTGCCTGTTCGGCGAGATCCTCTCCCCATTGGCGCGGATAGATTCCGTGGACGAATTCAACGCTATTATCGAGGAGGAGACGAGGCTTAGATTCAACGAGGAGCTCGGATTGTCGTCCTCGTCGTCCCCGTCGTCGTACCCTTCCACCGAGGAATCCGTGTTCTCCGCCAATCTGGGCATAGTCGATCTCGTCACGCAACTATCCAGACTTCTGAAACCCACCGACGACGAGGACGAGCTCGACGATTCAAGATAACGTTGCACGAATTGCGACCTCCTCGAGGAAGACTGATCCTCCAACGACTTGGCTTGCGCCATTCTGTACTGTTGTTGTTGCTGCTGCTGCTGCTGTTGTTGTTGTTGTTGTTGTTGCTGCTGCTGCTGTTGACCGCCGCTGTTCTGCCTCCGAGCTCTGGACGGCGTGCTCGAGGATTTTCGAGACGTGGGCGGCAAGGAACTCCAATTGACTTGATGCGGGGGCGAAGGTGGAGGGCTGATGATATCACTGTCCACTATGGCGTTGGATCGAGGGAGGAAAGGAGGTTTCCCGTAATTGTTGCGCCCCGAAGAATGTTTGGAGGAGGTTCTCTTCCCGACCGCATCCTGGAACGCCGGTGGCGGGGAT